ATGTTTGGTTTTGGAACACTTTTATTTATAGTTGACAATGAGTGTGACTAACATTCTAGAAATTCACTTGAGATAAAATAATATTACATTTTGAAGACCTAACTTAGGAGTCATTCCTGTGTTGAACCTTGTTCAAGTTCTCTTTGAGACCTACTTAGCACTTGTCTTTCATACTGAGGCAAAGCCCCAGTCTAAGCAAAACTGTTTTCTCTGAATGTTTTGTTAATTATGGGTATTTAAGAGCCCCCTATTGAGATGTAGGCTGTGTAGAGTTAATATGATTGGTAATAGGTATAAATTCATACAATCCAGTGTGGAAAGCAATTTAGAATCATGCCAAGAAAATGGTTGTCTGTACCTTGACCTAGAGATTCCACTACTAGACATAAAGGCCAAGGAAATGAATGATATAAAGAAAGACTACAGATACACCAAAATAGTTATAGCAGCACTTTTCATAGTAGCAAAGAACTGGAAGCTAAGGTGTGTATGCCTTTCAGTTGTAGAATGACTAAACAAATTATGGTATATGAATGTCACAGACTGTAAGAAATGGTGGATAATGAGTATAGAGAATCACAGAAAGACTTTACTAATGCAAAGTGAAATAAGCAGAACCAGGAAAATTACATTCCCAGTGTCTATAGCAGTGAACGTGGAAAGAGTTGAACAGTAACAGAACGTTTGAAACTGAATGCTTTGACATTCAAATGACCAGACTTAACCCTCAACAGGAGATATCAGAAGGTACCTTCCTTGGCAGAGAGGGAGAACTCTGGGTACATAATGTTACAGATGGTGTCAGAATTGTGCTGTGTTTGATTAATCTTGCTGAAATGATTGTTTAATCTTTTTATTCTTTGTTATAAGAGAAGGCTTTCTGAGGAGAGGGAGAGAAGAGAAATACAAGTGGGGAAAAAAAAAGATGAACTTATTTTTTTGAAAGTTAGTGTAATTAGAAAAGTAAGACAATCCTTTCCCTCAAGGACCTCACATTTCTTGTAAGGAGAGAACACATATAGGAAGTTTCAGATACACTTCAAATGGAAAGGCCCCATGGTCCTTAAAGTACAGCAGCAAAACATATAATAATTTGTTGTTTTTCAGTCATGTCCAATTCTTCATGACCTCATTTGGAGTTTTCTTGGCAGAGATACTAGAGTAATTTGCCATTCCCTTCTCCAGCTCATTTTACAGATGAGGAAACTGGGAAAAACAAGGTTAAGTGACTTGCCCAAGATCATATAACTAGTAAGTGCCTGAGGCCAAATTTGAACTGGGGAAAATGAGGTTTCCTGACTCCAGGCCTAGCACTCCATCCACTGTATCACCTAGCTAATAATATATGTTCTTAATGTTATTTCCTTTGATAAAGCCAAATCCATTTCTTATATCAAACCATTTGACAATGCCAAGGACTTTGGTGACAACAATCTTTCTTCTTCTGGTCTTTAAAAGTACTGGCTGCTGAGGAGGCAGGGCTTGTAGCATCAGCAGAAGCTTTTGCCAGGTCTCATCTCTGCAAGGATTGGTTCCTTGGATGATGGCTTTGGAGGTTATGTTGCATGCTAAACTGGTAATATGGAAGGGCTCAACTATTCACTGGTCTCTTGGGCCTGGAGTATCTTCATTTTGGTTTGAGGTGGTCGTCAAGGTTATAGTGGTGGTTTGAGTTAGCTGTCATATGCTGCCACCTCCTGTCTTTCTGTTAGGTTGCTTTGCTGGTTTAGCTAGGCTGACTTGCCCACCCTATGGATAGCTCTTGGTCAGCATTTGATTAAACTGGTGGCCTCTTCTCCACTGGAGTTGCTCCCCTGAACTAGAGAACTGCAATAGCAGAGCAGTGCTATTCCCAGGATTCTTGGACTTAGCTGACTATTGATAACAATTGTTTAGCAGTTGGTGTTGATAGTAGTGAAGATAAAGGGTCCGTTCTCCATGGAAAGTATTCACCTTGATGATGGCTGCAAGTGTCAGATTAGATGGAGAGTTAGTGATCTAACAGGCCATAACTATATCATGGGCTCTTAGGCTCAGTTCCAAGACTGTCTATAAGTGGTAGCAATTATTTGATGTTTTATTTTGCGTAGGAGTCCTTTATATGTCTTTCTGTTGCAGTTTTACTTTCCTTGTTGTTTTTCTTAGACTTGAAATTTATATATCAGGGGTGTTAGAGAGAAAAAAGTGGCTACTAATTAAGATAACTTAGGAAAGATATATCCTGACACAGATATTTTCCTGTAGAATATAGTTGTAGATCAAGAAGTATCTTAGAGATCATTTAATCCAATCCCTTTATTTTGTAGAAGATAACTGATGCCCCAAATGACTGATGGCCACACAGATAGAGAAGGGATAGAGCCAGGATTGGAACCCACAGATCTCTTTGTTTCTAGTTCCAGTGTGTTTTTAATTATACCACACTGAGAAGTGCATCATATGTCAGAAGGTGACATACAATGCTCTGTTGGCAGAGCTGTGACTTAGTCCAACTCTTCTGGAAAGTAGTTGGATTGGCCAAGAAAGTGACAAGACTGCCCATGCCCTTTGACCCAGAGATTCCACCACTACTAGGCATACAGCTCAAGGAAGTAAATGCTTTTAAAAAAAAAAAAGCCTGGAGGCAGCTAGGTGGTGCAGTGGATAGAGCTCTGGCCTTGAAGTCAGGAGGACATGAGTTCAAATCCAGTCTCAGACACATGACACTTACTAGCTGTGTGACCCTGGGCAAGTCACTTAACACTTGCCTCACAAAAAAAAAGAGGCCTCACATATTTCAAATTATTTATAGTAGCCCCTTTTGTTTAAGCAGGTATTTGAGAATGAGGTAGATGTACATTGTTTGGAGAAATAGCTGAACAAATCATAATAGAACATGAATATAAAGGAATATTGTTCTATAGGGAATATGAATGTGAAGGATACAAAGAAACATCAAGAGGAAGACTTATGAACTGTTGCAAAGTGAAGTAAGCAAAACCAGGAGAACATCATACATGATGACAAAAGCAGTGTGAATGAAAGAAACAGGAACAAGAGGAAACTGAGGGAAGGGGAGGGGGGAAGGAATAAGCATATGTATGTAATTTACTGTGTGTCAGTCATTGTGCTAAATGCTTTTGGCAAATATCATGTCATTTGATCTTCACAACAACCATGCGAAGTAGATACAATTATTCTCATTTTACAATTGAGGAAACTAAGACAAGTGGGTAAAATGACTTGCCCAAGGTCACACGATTACTAAATGTCTGAGGCCAGATTTCAACTCCAGCTTTTTCTTAACTTTCCAGGTTCTTCAACTAGAGCTTTGTACTACTGCTAGATTTAGCCCTAGGCTGTACTTTTTCAGGAGGTGATTGTGGTCATTCCTGCTTTGTCTCACCTTAGATTACGTAGTAGCAGAGCCCTGGATCTTCAGGGTTAGGAACCTCTGAGCCCTTCTGTGGAAGTTCACACTGTGAAATATTTTCTCTTTCCCTCTGTAAGATATCTTACTATACCAACTCCCTCTTGATCCCCCTTCTAGTGGGATCCCTAGGCCCTATTGGGTACAGGGGTGTTTGGCTCTTTGCCAGAGGACTTGTTTGCCTTTGCTGAAGCTTCCTGCTCACTTTCCTATTGGTTTTTGTTTGTGTGTTTGTTTGTTTGTTTGTTTGTTTGTTTTGGTGGGATTTTGGGATGGAGGAAGTCACTTATTATAGTTTCTTATTGGAATTATCATTATTCAGTCTTTCAGGTTTATGTTGGGTTAGGAGTGTGGGACTAGCAGTTGGCCTTGTGTTCAAGTAGCCATCTTAACCAGAAATCCTAACATTAGTCTTTTTTTTTTCTTCAGTGTATTAGTTGATATTGCTAGATTTTTACCCCATTTTTCTGCTTTATTATTATAAAGGGTGACTGGAAATGGGAAGTGTAGAATGTGAAATATAGGTGATAACCAAAGATAAAATTATATTTTATCCAGTTTTTAAAAGTAAATTGTCTAATACTGATTTTGCCAACAAGCGTTGGTGTGATTTTCTAATAGCTGTTTTAATTCGTGATTGTTTCTTTTTTAATATAAATATCATTCATGTGGTAACCATGATAAAAACCAGGCATTCAGTCAGTTCATTCTCAATTAAAGAATAGCATAGATAGTCTAACTTAGGCTATCTAGAGCTATTTGTCTGAAAACTATAGGCATTGATAAAGGCAGAGTGATTTAGTTCAAAGAGTACTAGACTTGCCATCAAAGACTTGTTTGGAGACTGGACTCCAACCTTGGGCAAGTCACTTTGCTTCTCTGATCCTCAGTTTTCTCATCTATAAAATCAGGATAATGATCATTGCATTTCCTGTCTTACAGAATTGTTGTGAAGAAAGCTGTTTTGAATCGCAAAGGTATAAAGTTAAGAGCAGCTAGGTGCTGCAGTGGATAGAGCACTGGCCTTGGATTCTGGAGGACCTGAGTTCAAATTTGGCCTCAGACCCATACTAGCTGTATGACCCTGGGCAAGTCACTTAACCCCCAATTCCCTCAAAAACAAACAAGCGAGCAAAAAAACCCAAAGGTACAAAGATGTGTGTTTTTAGTTATTACTGAGCAAATAAGCTTGCCTTGAATTAGGGTCATCACTGGAGTCATAAGGAAGTCAAACTTCCTCTAAGCAGCTGCTGGCATTTCAGGTCAAACTGGAAGTTTGAAAACAGTGCCAGAAATATACCTTGCTTAGGAGTAAGGAGAATAGTAGTAGAGAGAAGAGAGCCTTTCACCAATACATTAGATTTAATCTAATTAGACCTGGATTTAGACATCTCAAAAGCATAATCCATAAGAATATTGTTTTCAGAAAGGTCAGATGATAGATTTATATTCAGCTGACTAGTATCTTGTAGAGTTGTCAAAATACTGATTACAAAGGTATAATAATGTTTAACTTAAGTATTGACTTGTTAATGATTAATCTCATCTTCAGTGATAATTTAACCAAGCCTCTTTTTTTTTTCCCATCCAGATAGTATCAGCAGTGCAATACTGCCACCAAAAGCATATTGTTCACAGGGATCTTAAAGTAAGTAGAAATAAATAGTATTTGACTAGGTTCTGAGTAAAATATATTTGTACATCTTACCTTCCCTGTCTGTGCTAATAAAAAATTAATTACCACTTAAATTTTGTTTTTAAATAAGAAATTTAATTTGTGTATTAATATTTTTAAAATCATTTTAAGCCATAGTGGAGAGAGTTTCAAAAAAAGAAATTATGTTAAGTGTTTTATGCTGTGATGGTATAGTTTGTAGTCATTATTTTGTCCCAGGTCAGCACACAAACCTTAGTCATTTTGACAAGACTTGCCTGTGAGTGAAACTATTGTCTATATACCATTAGTGTCCTTTGGGTACCTGTTTTTCATTGCAAGCAGCGCCATCAAGGATTAAATTCTTTCTCTGTATCCAGAGTTAATGCCCTAAGAGCATCTTAGAAGAGAGATAATAAATCACTAATAGAATAGAAATAGAAATATAGTTGGTATGACTTCATGGGCAGCAAGTCCATAACCTTATTTTAAAGTTTTGTCAATGAATAAACAAAATTCATTTGTTCTTGGTCAGAGTCCTGCAAAAGACTTAATCACTATTTCTGGCTTAAACTGAGTGTGGAATGAATTTAAATTGAGGTTCTTGTTTTATGATATAGAAGTATGAATTCTGATTTATGCTCTCTTTTTTTCTAGAAAGGCTTCTTCTTTAGATCATTAGAATGTCTTCCCTCTGAAGTTATCTCTAGTTTATCCTGTCTGTAGTTTGTCTGTAGCTGTTTTATAGGGCATCTAGGTGTCTCAGTGCATAGAACACTAGGCCTAGAGTTAGGAAGACTGAAATTCAGATCTGGCCTCAGATCTAGTTGTGTGACCTTGGACATGTCACTTAATCTTTTTGCCTTAGTTTCCTCATCTGAAAAACAAGTGAGGGATCAGAAATGGCAAAATACTCCAGTGTCTTTACCAAGAAAATCCCAAAGAGTTGGATACAACTGAAGCAACGTAGGTTGTTTGTACTTAGTTGTTTGCATGTTGTCTTCCCCTTTAGACTATGAACTCCTTGAGAGTTGAGGCGATTTTTTGTCTTTTCTTTGTATCCTCAGTATTTGTCACAGTGCCTTTCACCTAGTAGGCATTTAATAAATGCTGTTGACTTGACTTGCAGATCATTAGTAAAAAGCTTTATTCTAAATTAATACCTAGCTCTAAGTCACTTGTGTTAGTAATTATCCTGTCTATTTAGTAAAATTCATTTTCCCTAATGTTATTCTTCTAGGCTGAAAATCTATTGCTAGATGCAGATATGAACATTAAAATAGCGGACTTTGGTTTTAGTAATGAATTTACTGTTGGAAATAAACTGGACACATTTTGTGGCAGTCCTCCATATGCAGCTCCAGAACTCTTCCAGGGCAAAAAATACGATGGACCTGAAGTGGATGTTTGGAGTCTAGGTGTTATTCTTTACACTCTTGTGAGTGGCTCTCTTCCTTTTGATGGACAAAACCTAAAGGTACAAAAAGTAATTTCATTCTTATTAAATTCCACCAAAATTGGTAGTAGTATCAAACACCACCAAAATAATTTTTTTTTAAATTATGGAGGCTAAATAGTTGTAAAATTGTATCACTGTGATGGTATATTGTCCTTTTAACCTATCATTGATTTGCCACTCTTCTAATCTGACCTCCCTAAAGGAACTGAGAGAGAGAGTATTGAGAGGGAAATACAGAATCCCTTTCTACATGTCCACGGATTGTGAAAATCTCCTCAAACGTTTCCTGGTGCTAAATCCAACCAAAAGAGGCACACTAGAGGTAATTACCAATGTGAAAAACATAGGAAGCTTTGAACATTCTTTGAAATATTTTTAGAGCTTTGCTCACCTTGTCCAAAGTGTTTAACTTATTTCTGAAGACTTTCAATTTGAAGCATTTAAGAGGATCAGAGAAAAGCAAATGTATTTTGACCTTCCAGAAAGGGAAGAGTTGAGTCAGCAAATTATAGGCTAGTGAGCTTGACTTCAATTCTTTGTAATATTCTAGAAAGATTAAGGGAGTAGTAGAAAGAAAGGAAGTGGTATATCACAAAGAGCTGCATGACTTCAGCAAAAACAGGTTATGCCAAACTAACTTCATTTCCTTTTTTGCTGGGATAGTACAGCCAATGAAATACTGTCTCTAAATTCACCTAGATTTTTGTTTAAAAAAAAATTAATAGAATCTTTCATGCTTTTCTTATAGGCAAATGGGATAAATATGGGCTAGACAGTAGTAGTTTAGATGGATTATAAGCTGGTTAGACCTAAAGATTATTCATTACTGGTTCAGTGTCCATTGTATAAAAGCAATCTCCAGGAGATTATCCCAGAGATTTTTTTCTTGGATTTGTGCTATCTGATATTTTTATCAATGACTTGGATAAATGTGTAGATAACATGCTCTTTAAAATTGGCAACCAGATACCCAACCCACATACTGAGTCAGAATCGGGGGGAAAAAAAATCTCACTAGGCTTGAACATCAAATCAAATACAGTAAGCTAAATTTTAATAGAAATAAATATAATCTTATACTTGGGTTGGAAAAAATACCAACTTTACCAAAAACAAAGTTAATCAGCAATTCACTTGAAAACTGTCTGGGGCATTTAGTGGACTACAAGCTCAGTGGGAGTCTGCCCTATTATGTGAGGGGGGAAAAAAACCACCAGCCCAAACTAACCCAGTCTTAGGCTGTTTTAAGGAGCTTAAGATAATCCATATAGTGACCAGTGAAAGAAATTGGGGGTGTTTATCTTGGAGTAGAAGAGATAAAGGGGATAGCTTTCTTTGGATATTGGAAAGGCTGTCGTATTAGAGAAGTGTTAAACTTGTTCTGCTTGGCTCCAGCGGTAGTTAGAGAGCCAGTCATTAAAGTCATTTGAAGGTAGAATGGGCTGCCTAAGGAGGTGGTGGTTTTTACCTGACTGGATGCCTTAAAGCAGAATCTGGATCACCACTTGTAGCATATGTTGTAGATACGATTCTTGGTCAAACCAGCTGGTTTTGGACATCCCTTCACAGAAGTTAATACTTGTCTTTTTGAGAGAATGACATACTAAGAAAGTGTAAAGCATTTCCTTCTTGAGTTTTAGTAATGAAAATCTGAAAACAAACTTTAAAATTCAGAGACCTTATACATAGTGGAGTAATTGAAGTGTTATTGTGATTTTGTTTTTGTTTGTTTACTCTTATGAATGCTAATTAATAGTTCACTTTTTTGTAGCAAATCATGAAGGACAGGTGGATCAATGCAGGGCATGAAGAAGATGAACTTAAACCATTTGTAGAACCAGAGCTAGACATCTCAGACCAGAAAAGAATAGGTAATCTTATGTGGGTTGGGGGGGGGGAGGTGCAGTGCCAGAATGACTATCTGAATATGTGCTTTTTTATATAGTGTGTGTTTGTATTATATGCTTATAGAGATATTGTGTGTCACTGACATTTAGGAGCATATGTGAACTGCACTAGCAGCAAGTAACTAGAATAATTGGTTACATATGCATTCATTTTAAGAAGATGTATAGTCTTTTTAAGTCAAAGGAACATTTTATCCTGAAACAAAGTGTTTTGTCATATAAACTTTCTTATACCCTTCTTTTAGATATTATGGTGGGAATGGGTTATTCACAAGAAGAAATTCAAGAATCTCTTAGTAAAATGAAATATGATGAAATCACAGCCACATATTTGTTGTTGGGCAGAAAATCATCAGAGGTAAGAGTAATTTCAGAAAGGAAAGCTAAAGATGCCTTTTGTAATTTTAATTTTTTTTTACATGTAATGGTCATTCAAGTCCCATGACTAGTATTCCTTTTTTATTAGTTACTGTCTTTTTCAAGGTACATTGGACATTGTCACAGATAACATGTCTACAATTAGTATTTAAACATAATTTCATATACCAGCTGATTATGAGTATAAGGTATATTTCACAAATGTATTTGTTTTCTGCCCTTTGCAGCATATTTTAGAAAAGTATATTATACTTCTCTCTTTCTTTATCTTTGAATGACCAACAAGAATATGTTCTTTGAATTTTCAACTATAATTTAAACATCTCTCTAAAATAGCTCTATTATGTGAGGTTCCAGTTTATATTTTAATAAATCATTTGTATTTGTATGTATGTTGTCCTTTTTCAATTTTTTTCCTAGCTGGATGCTAGTGATTCAAGTTCCAGCAGCAATCTTTCACTTGCTAAGGTTAGGCCAAGCAGTGATCTTAATAATAGCACGGGACAATCTCCTCACCACAAAGTCCAAAGAAGCATCTCTTCAAGCCAGAAGCAAAGACGATACAGTGATCATGGTGAGTGATAATAGCGAAGAATATTCTTTGTTTTTCCTTTTAAATAAGAAGACTGATTATGACCAATGGTCCTATAAAGTGATACAAAGTCTTCACCTCACTACCTAGCCCAGGTGCCTTTTTCATTTTTTTGTGAGTTCTTTTGTGTTCTGCTAAAGTCCTGATGTGGCATGGAGAGAAATGAACTCTGGATTCTCAAAGGCTATCCCAGTGCAACTGATGCTCTGATAGGTTCCACTAAAATGAAGTGTCTCGGGTTTGGGCACAGCAGCAAACATTGTACCTGCTATCTGAGGATCAACCTAGGCAAGTTGTGAGGCATGTCATCATAGAGTTAGACACCCATCCTAGTTTTCTTCAGCCACGGCAGTCAGGAGCACTGTCTACTAATTTATGGAGGGACTGCAATCTCTATCAGTAGACAAAATACCTACAGCTGATGAAATTAAAGATATTTAAAGTATGTGAGTAGAAGTTCTATATATAATGCTTACAGCCAGAGTAACTGGATTCAGTTTCTGAATTACTCATCTATTTGTATCTCTGGTTGGTTGTTCTGCTTAAGCTATGTAGACTTAACCATATAGGAAATCTTCCTAGAATATTGAGAGGTCAAATGTGTGGCTGCTCCTCCCTGGTTTAGTGTATAACTCTTCCAAAAACCACCTCCTTTCTGAGGCATCTGTTTTCTAAACATAAGTCAACCAGCTACTGTATACAAGGCACTGTGCTTCCGAGCTCAAGAAGCTTACAAATGATAGCGAATACATAATGCATATATAAGCATAATGAAAATGAAAGGAGGTTAATTTTGTGAAAAGCAGGTGATCCAGAATTGGCCTCATAAAAAGAGGTTGCATTTTAGTTGGGCTTTGAAGGAAATTAAGGATCCTAAGTCAGAAGTATCGAGAAGGGAGATGAAATATTTTATGTGAAAAACAGCAAAATCACTTTGGCTGATCTAACGTGTATGTAAATAGAAGTAATATATAATAAGCCTGGAAAGGTAGGTTGGAGCCAGGTTCTTTAAATACTAGAGAGGTTTGTATTTGGTCCTAGAGGTAATATAGAGTTGCTGGTATTAGTGAACAGAGGAATAACATGATCTGTGTTATAGGAATACTACTTTGAAAGCTATGTGGAGGATGGTTTGGAAAGAGAAATATCTTTAGAGATAGAGACTGTATGATAGCTTTATTAAAACAGCTGTTATTTTATTAGTATTATATGACTTCGTAATTCTGTTTATATGTGTGTATGTGTATATCACCTCTCAGGCTTGTAGACATAGACTTATATACATATGCAGCTGAGAAGTGATGAAGGCCTGAATTAACATGGTGGCTGTGTCTATGTAAAGATGAAGGTAGATGCCGGAGAAGTTGGCAATTGTTTGGATATGTTCAGTGAGGGCAAATGAAGGTTTCATTATGCCTCACAGGTAAATCTGGGTGACCAGAAGGATTTTAACAGAAGAGAAGAAGTTCATGAGAGAAGTGGATTTTGGGGGAAAGATGGTTTCTGTTTTGGACTCACTGAATTTGATGTGTCTTCAGAACATCCAGTTTGAAATGTCTCATCAACTCTTGATTATTCAGGACTGGAGTTCAGAAGACTGTATTTGATAGAAGTATTTTTGTTTGATATTTTACCCTTACATAGATTGCTGTCTTTATGTGCCTATCTTTGTCAGTGTTTTCAAAGTCTTAGTTCCTGAAAGGGAGGGACCAAATATATTTAAGTTGATTTTTATAGTATCTAACATTGCTATAATGTGTATACAATTTCCTTGACTAAATGCAATAAAAATATCGCTAATCACCGTATAAGGACATGAGAAATGTTTATAAGGATTTGGACATTTTCTCCCTGGCCTTGTACTTTGTGATTAAACCTTTGCCAGAATCATAGAGTGAGTCTGAATTTTGTATCTTCTCTCTTACCTCACTTCCCCCTATCCCTCATCATGGAATATCATTGGTTCCAAATTATTTACAAACTAAAATAAAACTTCTGAGCCACTTACCTTTTCACCATTCCCCCTTCACATATCATTGGCTCTCTATGTTCCATTCTTGTTTTTAATCTCTCTTCTCTTTTTGGTTTGGTTATTCTATTACAAGGGTGGTCTCCTCTTCTGCTTCTTAATCTTTTGGAGTCTATATCTTCCTTAATCGATTTCCTCAAAATTCTACCTCCATAAAGCTAACTAAACTCGCCTCACAAATGAAAGTGATCTCTCTCTCCCCCAAATTTTTGTAGCACTTTTACCTCTTTTTTGTACACACTGCACTCTTTGTGACATCATAATTACTCATGTACTTGTGTATTTCTTTTTGGTTTGTTTTTTTTGGTTTGTGTTTTTTTTTTTAGGTAGTTGGTATTTTTGCTTAGGCAATCAGAGTTAAGTGACTTGCCCAGGGTCACATAGCTAGTAAGTGTCAAGTGTTTGGTCTGAGGCCAGATTTGAACTCAGGTCCTCCTGAGTTCAGGGCCAGTGCTCTATCCACTGTGCCATCTAGCTGTCCCTTTGTATTTTTCCTCCCATCAAATTGTAAGCATCTGAAGAGCATGATGTGTGTTATATAGACATTTGTATCTCTAGCATCTAGCCCAGTTCCTTGCATCTAAGTAGGCATTAAGTAAATGTTTGTTAAATTGAATTAGAGCTTAGAACGGTCTTAGACTATCTTCTGACATAACCTCTTCACTTTTCAAAAGAAAAAATAGCAAAGTAGTGAAGCGATCTTCCCGAGGTCAACAGTGACTTTGGTGGCAAATCCAGAACCTGAACCATGCTCATGATTGATAGTCCAGTGTTCTTCCTTAGTATGTCATTCTCTCTTCTCGTCTTGATGAGGTTTCTTAATCTATTTTTTATTATATAATTTTATGATGATATAGTTCCTACCTTCACAGAGCTTTTGGAATATCACATAAGAACATTTTAAAACAAACTTAATAGGAAGTTAACCAAATTCAGTCAGCTCCTCTGTACGGTTGCTTCCCAGAGTACAGAGAGATTCATAAGCTGAGAAAGGAGGGCAGGGCTTTAGGAGTGCTGGTGTTTCTGATTCGTAGGGTGGGAAGGATAAGCCAGTCAGTCAGTAAACATTTGTTAAGCACCAGCTATGTGCCAAGCACTGTGTTAAATATTGGGGACACATATATGAAAAAGAAAAACAGTCCTTGCCCACAACGAACTTAACAGTCAAAAAGGGAGAAGACAACAAACAAAAGGAACTGAGAAGGGGATAGAGCACCTTCCAGCCTTCCAATCAGAAGGGCACAGGATAGTAAGGGTCTTGATAAGGTATAAGTACCAGGATGATGCAGTCTCACAGGATGATGAGTTTCCTGCTGTGAAGTTCTTGGGGACTTGGTGGAGTCCGTTCCAAAGTTGGTTAGCCAAGTGAGTTTAAAAACAAAAAAACCTAACATAGGCCTTACAGTTTGTTTGGCACAAAGTTATGCTTTAAAATTAACATCTAGCCTAATGCCTAAGTAAGTGAGTGCTCATAGACAAATGTCAGAGCAGATTTATTTCTCATTTTTCTCGATCCCATCCTAAATCACGCTAACTTGCATATACCAGTTTCTTAAAAAAAAAAAATTTAGAAATTTAGTTTGTATGAAATGAAAATTCTCATTCCTTAAAACATTAGTTTATGCTGAAACCTAGTTAAATATTCCTGATGGATATAATTCAGTGGCTAAAATTATCAAAGGTACTCTCATAAAAGGTGGTGATGCATATAAGCTTTTGTTGGTTGATTACCACCTAAACTTTACAGTTTACTCCAAGCTTCTAATTTTTGCATTACTTTGAGTATTTATTTATCTTTGCCATTCATAATCTTAAGTGAAGCCAGATTTGGCTATCTTTTTACCAAATGAAAAATGTCATAGTTTTGAAACAAATTAATAATTATCTGAAAGATGTTTAAGGTGATGTTAGGCCTCTTTGGTTACGGACAAGAGAAGACGTAATGTTTTGAGCCAAGAACAGTGTCACCAGTGCTTTAGGTTTTCTTTTCTGTTTTGAAACCACCAAACTTAATCATGCTTTCCCAACAAAACCTTTTATTCCCTTAGTTCAACTCAAGTATTCTTTTTGGCTTTTTTTTTTTGTAGGCAATTGGGCAATGACTTGCCCAAGGTCACACAGCTAGTAAGTGTCAAGTGATGGGTCTGAGGCTAGATTTGAACTCAGGTCCTCCTGACTTCAGGGCTGGTGCTGTATCCACTGTGCCACCTAGCTGCCCCCAACTCAAATATTCTTGATTTAGAATTTTCTATAGATGAGAGCCGTGTTCTTTTTCTTATAGCTACAAAATCTAAATACTCCTCACACTAAATAAAGAATATTATAAATTTATATCATGCTCTAAGATTTACAAAGTACTTTTCTTAAAACAGACATGTGAAAGGGGTATTATCTCTATCCTCCTGTATTATCCCTATTTTTATAGATAAGGAATCTGAACCTTAGAGTTAGAATATCTGTACATAGTCACACAGCTATTAAATTTCAGAGCCAGAATATGAAACCAGTTCACCGAAGTCTATTCCATCATGCTGCCTTTCTAAGTATGTTCATACATTTTTACTTTTCGCCTCCATAAAATTGGAATAATTACTTTTCCAAATTGTTTGAATTTTGGATTCTCTTCTACTGCTTAAATGGGTACTGGCTCCTTCTATGCCTTTTCCTGCCTTGGTAAACCACAATTTCATTGCATTACACAGTTAAATTCAAGGTAAAATTTGAGACAGCTTAAAGGAAATGTTTTGTAATTGTGCAATACTATTCTGTTCCAAAAGGTGAAGGCCTCTCTTATACAAAAAAGGATGTAATTCAGTCAGATTTCCAAGGTGAACCCATTGCTTCTGCATGATTTTGTGTGCATCATTAGCATAGTTGATTTGTTATGACTACAGTAACATCCTCCCAAGATGTTTTCCAAAGGACAGCCACCAAAAGCTTCTTAATTGTGAGATCTTTCAAAGGAAATTGAAAATTATGGACAAGTAGATGCCACCTAACAATTTATATCAGGGGGAACTTCGTAGAGGATTTTACTGCATTATCTTCTTTATTTTTTTCCTTTGAAGTAGCACTTTGTTGCCCTGCTTGTTAAGTACTTTATTTTCAAAAAGTCAGTAGTAGAAAAATATATTCTGATTTGAAACAAAAATTCTGTATTTTAGCTGGACCATCCATTCCTCCAGTTGTGGCATATCCCAAAAGGAGTCAGACCAGCACTGCAGATAACGACCTCAAGGAGGAAGGAATTCAGCCGAGGAAGTCCAGCAGTAGTGCTGTTGGAGGAAAGGGATTAGCACCAGCTAGTCCCATGCTGGGTAATGCAAATAATCCAAATAAGGCAGATATTCCTGAACGGAAGAAAAGTGCCACTATTCCTAGCGTAAGTCATGTTTGTTCAGTAGTGGTGCTTTATTTTGTTCTTTGGTAAGGAGAGTTTAAACATCTGTTTAGAACATGAAGATTTTTGTCTATAAATGAATTCTGTTTTTGTTCATCTGGTATAGCAACAGTTATCCTGTAGTTGTTACAGAGGCAGTGTAGTAATATAGTGGAAAGAAGTGTGGATTTGCAGTCATAGGGCCTGGATTCCAATCCTGTTTCTACTACTTTTTGTGTAACCTTTGGCAAATCCTTTTGCCTTCTGGATTGATTTCCTAGGTGTACAGGTTTCTAGATTTAGAACTGGAAGAGTCCTTTTGGAATCATCTAGACCAAATGCATCATCTGAAAGTGAGACTCGGAGAGATTAAGAACCTATAACATTGCTAAGCTGTGAAAAAGGGTTTACTCTGTAACCCTGGAGGCAGCTAAGTAGCGAGGTGGGTAGGAAGTCAGGAAGACTTATCTTTCTGAATTCAGATCTGGCCTCGGACACTTACTGTTCTTTGTAACTGTGTGAACCTGGGCAAGTCACTTAACCCTGTTTGCCTTGGTTACCTCATCTGTAAAAATGAGCTGGAGAAGGAAATTGCAATCCACCCCAGTATCTTGGCCAAGAAAAATCATAAATGGGGTTGCAGAAAGTCAGGCACTACTGAAATGTTTAAGCAATAATATATAACCATGTACTACTGTTTCTGTAGCAGACTAGTATGGCTCCAAAAAGCCTGGTGAGATAAATATTAAGGAAAGGAACATAGAGTATCACTTATTTTTAGTTTTTAGGCAATATTTTTATTCCTGCTGGGAATAAAGCCTAGCAAGTTAGTTGATTTCCTGAAGTCATACTGGTTCTTCAGGTTTATTCTGAACTTTACCCAGTTTTTCAAACTTGTGCTTCCATCTCCTTACACCTCAAGCTTATTATGCCAGTAATCCATTTAATTTTATTGGTAGTCACAAAAGTTTAAGAATTTTCATTGACTATTATAGTTGGAAAGGTCCTTAGAAAATATCTAATCCAATTCCCTCATTTTATGGATGTGGAAAGTAAATCTTAGAGAGAAGCAGTGACTTAAAGAAAACTTTCCTGGTTATACTTACTGACTGCCTTCTTTCATACTTTCCAGTTGTCTTGAAAATGCTTCCATGACAGAGTTGACTCTTCATATGTAATTCTTTGTAGAGAGAGAAAATTGAGCATTATTTTTATTTCTCCTATTCACCTTTCAATCGTTAGAAAGTTACATTCAAAACCTTCCTGCTTAAGTACGCATAGCATCAGATAAGTTGTTTTCCTCCTTTTTTCAATAATTCAAGAGTATTCATTGATGATTGTGGCTTTTACAAGTTATATTACATTGTATTACCTGGGATGATTTTTGGGTTCCATGTGTAAATTGTTGAGAGCACTTTTCAGCGGGGTAATAATAATGGACAAATATTGTTCAATAAAGGAAATTAGTAATACTCTTTTGAAGTATTTTGTGACCCCTCTCTGGGTCTCAGTTTCCTGATGTGTAAAATGAAGAAATTGGACTGTGTGATCTTAAATTTTCCCTCCAGTCTGTGGTTCTCAATTACTTAAGAAATAGTTGATTTTACATTATCTTTAAATATATTTAATTATAAGTTTGTTATTCATGTTTCACAATTCTTTTTGGCTTTACTTTTAATAGCTTATTTTCTTTAAATTTTCTTTTCTTAAGATTTTCTTTAAAGATTCAGAGTAGCCCTGATTTTTATGAACAGGTTTTCATTTATTCTTCTGTTTTATATTGTTTGCTGAACAGTTAACTCTGAGAAAGATAATTCTGTAGCATTTGGAGTGTGCTGTTGAGGGCATCATATTGTAGTGAACAACAAAAGAAATAAACTCTGCATTAATAAATTGAGCTTTTCTTTGTAAGAAAATAAATGCTGTTCTTAACTTTTAGAATAATTCAACATCTGGTGGGATGACAAGACGAAATACTTATGTTTGTAGTGAAAGGACTACTGCAGATAGACATTCGGTTATTCAGAATGGCAAAGAAAACAGGTATGAAGCTTACACTTCTAGCAAGGAAGTGTGAATGTCTCATCGTTTTTTGCCTAAAATCGTATTATGTGTGTGTATTTTTCTTTCCTCTTTGTGATAAGTAAAAAACAAGTGGCTCCTAGTCTATCACTGTACTTAATCATAGAAACTGCAGGGTTGTAAATTCCTTTCATAGTTAAGGTCGTCAGTTATAAAAAGTAGATTGTTGACAATTCAGTTAAATGGACTAATTCCATAAGAAGAAACTGGGTTGTGGTACAGGGAGAACATTTTTATTTCCATCTATTTTAGGCAATAGTGACAAAGACCCACAGGCAGAAGAGTAAGGGCACTACTATTAGGTCATGTTGGAGAATTAAGATGGAGTGGGAACTGTGACCTTATAGGTAATGTGAGGATAATAAGCCAGAAAGCTTTGAAGTCAAAGGTCAAAACTAAATTTGTTCTAGAGGGTAATTGAGAGTGACTGGAGAACATGTTCAGTCCACATACAAGTATTTTGATATATATTCAAATTGTATACTGAAATGATTTCATCTTTGAAATCTGAACAATTCTTTTTGAATTCTTTTGAATCCTTATGGGATTTTGAGGATTTTAAAGTAATGGGAATAAACATCTATTGGGCACTTTTTTATTCTGACTTCTGCGCAGATATCTTGGAGAAGGAGATTCCTGTCCTTAAGATGTTGATCCTTTCTTGAAGTGCCAAGTACCCAACAGTTAAAATAACTTTCAAATTTTTTTTAAAAGCTTAAATTTAGAAGGTGATATGCAAACTGAGTGAATATGGATGGTTAAAGGAATACAGATTAAACAAATTAATTATTCTTGAGAAGGGTGAGAATAGGAACTAATGTAAAGAGCAATTTAGAAGGGAGTCTCCAAGTATATTAGGAGATGAGCATATACTTTCCAGCATGCCAAGTACTCATTTACAGCCCTTTTTGGAAAAGCACCAAAATTGAAGTCATAGAAGTCTAAATAAAAATGAAATATTTATTTGTGAAATGCCAAGTAAATGACCCAGAAAACGTAGATACAAATGAAATGTATCTTATGACAGCATGCTTCTAGCTAATTGCTATCAGGTATACTGTAACTTTGTCTTTTTTATTACTTGAATTCTCTTCAGTTATATCTAATTCTTATGTTTAACTACAAATGTGTTGCTTGTTCTTCTTTGCTGGGATTAATTAATTATATTTGTCTGATGTTTTTGTTTCATTTCAAAAACTTAACTTTTTTTCTACATTCAATAAACTTCTTAGTAACTGAAATCTTAATCTAATACCCTTCTTCTTCTGTCCTTAAAACAACTGTTTTATCATCATCCTCTTTTTCCTGTCAGGCTCTGATCCCCAAATTTCACACTAGTTGAAGTAACATGGAAGTAGAAATGTATCTGTAGTACTGTAGTATGTGAAGTAGTATGTCCAACACATATGTCAAATTTTCAGAAGCTAATCTTGTTGCCAGGATTGTTAGAATGGTCAAATGAGATAATGCATACAGAGCATCTTATATACTTACAATCTCTTATAAATACAGCTATTACTTATTTTTGTGTGTCCCTGACTCTTTCCTACATCTCTAATTACAGAAACTCACATCAGAATTTCCAAAGATGCCATTTCATTTGTATAGCATGTACGTTGTTTCCCAACACAGATTGCAATCCCTCCAAACTTTAGCAGACAGCCTTCATGAGTTTCTGTGACTGAAAAATTCATCATCTAGTGGCAGGTTTTGTAGTAATAATCCTTTCTCTAGGTTGTGCCTTAGACTACAGACACAAGCTATTGATGGGGCAATGCTGAGAGTTTTTCTAGTTGATAGAATTTGCAAAAGCTTATACTTCCCTGTAATGTCTTTCAGGAACTTAGGGACACCTTTACACCACAATGAGATTATCAAATACTACGTTAGTGAAGCAACCAAAAATGTTGTTTGTTCTTTATTGCCATTATTACTGCCGTGACAAAAAAAAAAATCTTCCAACATCATTTGGAGAGTGGCTCTCTTTAAGAGCCCTAGTGATTAAAAATGTCTTAGAAATTATATGTATCCTCTCCCTATATAAGAATGTAAACTTTTTAACCTTGTTGAGTCCCTTTTAAATTCTCTCTCATATTTACCTTTTTATACTTCTCTCGAGTGCTATGTTTGAGGGTCACATTTTCTTTTCAGCTCTGGTATTTTCATCAGGAATGCTGGAAATTTTCGTTAATTTTTTTTCCCCTTGTAACATTATACTTAGCTTTGCTAGATAGGTTATTTTTGGCTGTAATCCTAGATCCTTTGCTCTCTGGAATATCATAGTCCAAGCCCTCTATGCCTTTATGGTGACAACTGCTAAATCTTGTGTGATCCTGATTGTTGCTTCTCAGGTTTTTTTTATTTTTTCTGGCTGCTTCCAATATTTTTCCTTGGCCTGGGAGCTTTGGATTTTGGCTACAAGATTCTTTGGAGTTTCCTTTTGGGATTTCTACTTTGTCCTCTGCTTCTAAGATATCGGGGCAGTTTTCCTTTATAATTTCTTGAAATGTGATGTCCAGGCTCTTTTTCTGTCCATGGCTTTTCAGCTAGTCAAATAATTATCAAATTATCTCTCCTCAATCTATTTTCCATGGCAGTTGTTTTTCTTAGGAGATAGGTCACATTTTCCTCTATTTTTTTAAGCTTTTCACTTTGCTTTATTATTTCTTGATGTCTTACAGAATCGTTAGCTTCCATTTGGCCAGTTCTAATTTTTAAGGAGTTATTTTCCTCAATAAGTTGGGTTGGTGTTTTTTTTCATTTTTGTTTTTGTTTTGTTTTGTTTTTGACCTTTTTTACCATTTGGCCACTTCTAGTTGGCCCCTCTAATCTTCAACTCAGAGCTACACAACTAAGTTTTTGGAATTTTTTCCAAAAGTAGGGCCTCTCTTCCTCTTGAATACTACTCTTTGTCCTGGAACTGTGACCCAGAACTGGGCAACAGGTGATAGAACTAGAATGTTCCCCATCAGCCCTTGTCTTTGCTGCCACTACACTGCGTTCCTAACCAGCTCCCACCCCAGTGTCTGCAGACCTCTATTTTCCTAAACTTTCCTGGATTGGAAAAAACCACTCACTCTCATTTTTTCTTGCCTTTTCTGATAAGAATTTTGTACATGTATTTTCTAAGCTGTTGAGGAGGTATGTTGGGTGAACGGGGCAAAAATGCTAACTTTCACTCCACCATCTGGATTCTGCCTTGTTACTACTTCTCACCTTATTTATTGTGATGTTGGAAGTAATCTAGATCCTATTTGCCATTTAAGATATTTTATCTACCTCTATAGATCTACCCAGAAGACTATCATCATTAATCAAATAAAACTTTTTGCTTTAAGTCCTGTAAGAAGTTGCTGCTATAGTAGTCTGCAAGACTAGTCAGTACATATTCCTGAGGCATTCCTCAGAGTTTTCATTTTCAGGTTTCAGAAGGTGATTGGTAGCTTTTATTTTTGCTTTGCCCTCTAGTTCTAATAGAGATGAACAGTTTTCTTTCATGATTTCATATGATGTATCCAGGCTCTTATTAGACGTGGCTTTCAGGTATTCTGATGGTTTTTACATTATCTTATTATGTGTGGGTTCAGAAAATTAGGCTTTTTAAAAATATCACCCAAAGCCATAATTATGAAGAAGCAATTTTTTTTAAGGTGATTGGGGTTAAGTGACTTGCCCAGGGTCACAGAGCTAGTAAGTGTCAAGTGTTTGGTCTGAGGCCAGATTTGAACTCAGGTCCTCCTGACTTCAGGGCCAGTGTTGTATCCCCTGCGCCACCTAGCTGCCCCACAATTTATATTTTCTTTATTGCTTCTAAAATAGATGTACGATGTCTATTAATCAAATAGCACAGAGAATTCCAGTTGACATTTTGGGTTTACAAAATTTGTAGTAACTGTAGTTTTCTACCAAAAATTCTGATCTTTGGGGCATTTATATGTGGAGTGAGACTTCACAAAAGTCGTACTTCTTTGTCTGATCATGGCATGGGGGTTACCTTGAGTGTTTGTATGCTGTGCTGTAAGAGCACAAATTGCAGGTACTACCAAACTGGGGGAAAAAAAAACAGACTAAAGCTGTCTGTGGACCAACCCAAATTAAAAAGGGTTTATCACTAGTAGATTAGCTACCATGGCAACTAATATAAGAAACAAACAAATACAAAATGGCCTTCAGTCCTCTGTAGGCCTCCTTTTGCTTCCTTGTTATGGAGTGGCCGACAGAGAGAAAGAATAGTAAGAGTTACTCAGTTTTTAAAGCATCTCTAAGAATTACTTTAACTGTAAATACTCTGAATACAACATCTTTGTCAGTGAGTTGATATACTACTAGAGAGTTTTCATTTTGAGATTTTTTTTCAGGAGGTGATCAGTGGATTCTTTCAGTTTTCATTTTACCCTCTGGTTGTAGTATATCAGCATGGTTTTCCTTGATAATTTCTTGAAAGATGATGTCTGGTTGCTTTTTTTGATCGTGGCATTCAGGTAGTCCAGTAATTCTTAAATTATCTCTCCTGGATCTATTTTCTAGGTCAGCTGTTTTTCCAGTGAAATATTTCACATTGCCTTCTATTTTTTTTTCATTCTTTTGATTTTGTTTTATTGTATCTTGATGTCTAATGGAGTCATTAGCTTTTGCTTTCCCAGTTCTGATTTTAAGGAATTATTTTCTTCAGGGAGCTTTTGTACCTTCTTTTCCACGTAACCAATTCTGATTTTTAAGAAGTTCTTTTCTTCAGTGAATTTTTGTACATCTTTTTCCATTTGGCCAGTTCTGCTTTTTAAAGTATTCTCTCTCTTTTGAAGCATTGAGGTTAAGTGACTTGCCCAGAGTCACACAGCTAGTGAGTGTTATGTGTCTGAGACTGGATTTAAACTCAGGTCCTCCTGATTCCAGTGCTGGTGCTCTGTCCGCTGCACCACCTAGCTGCCCCCTATTCTCTTTTTTTAAGGTACTATTTTCTT